ATTTTGATATCAAGGTAATAAAGGACTTATTAACTAAGTTGACTGCCTCCCCCTTTATTCTGTTCTGTTTAAGAAATTGCTTAAGGTTGTAATTATAACTTACTTGAACTTTTGCTTGAACCTATGTATAAAATATCTGGGCCTGGTTTCTTCTTTGTAGGAAATTTTCAATCACCGACTCAATATATATAGTGATTACAGAAAATGTACCTTTCTTCTTTATATTTTTAGTTTTAATTTTTACTAAATTGCACTAGTTTTCAAGTGTCAGTTTTACCTTACTGGCTTATTTTTATTTTTATTTGTCCTTGGACATTTCCTTTGCTTACAACAGTGCTTGAAAGTGTATTTGTTGTAAATTATCTAGGATCAAGTATTATTCTAGTATGAAGTACCTTCTGGGTATCTTTCTGTCCTGCTATAAGTGGAATTCCCCTCTGAGTTATTTTCAAAGGTTTAGGTATTTCAGATAAACTTTACTTAAATATTTGATCTTAGGGAATGTGTCTGTTTGAAGTTTGCTCGTCAAACCTTTGGGTAAATTAGGAAAGCAATTTAAGATTCAACAATTGAAGCCTTAGCCGTTATTCTCTGAAAATATGAAAATATGTTTGTCTACACTAAGAGAAATCTCTTTCCAGTGCTAACATCTTGCCAACTGTTTCATATCGTATTTTACCTCTCTTGATATTCCAAAAAGGGAAGAGGAAAACTAATTATTGAGCTCTTGTAATGTGCCAGTTGTTTTATTTTATTAGTTGTTTTTCATTTGCCAGCTCAATAAATCCTCAGACTAATTTTATAGCTGAGTGTTACGGCCATCTTTAATGTGAAGAAAGAGAAAGATGGAGAAATTTGCACAGGCTAATAATAGTTTAAGGATTCCAACTGAGCTCTGTTTGATCTAAAGTTATCCTACAATATAGTAGTACAACCTACCTCTGTTTTGTAGGTGTGGAAATTGAAGCTTCCAAGGTCTAAAAAGGAACTTATCCAAATAAAACTGGAGTGTGGGTCTCTTTGATTTCAGTGTGAACACTTTTCAAGATATTTTGTTCTGTAAATCCATCACAATCATATCATAAAATGTAGGATGACATGTCAAGTCTCACATATTCTAAAACACATCAGGACTCTCTAAGAACAGCAAGGTTTTATCATCACCCCTTTATGTCATGTATAAATGGAGATATTGACTATCTAATTTTATAGCAATGTGCAATAAAACATATACATTTATACTGTTCACTTCCATGAGCTTTGAGGAAAATGGACATACCAGAATCGACAGTCACAATACTGAGCATTTCCATCACTCTCAAAAGGGTCCCCTGTCCCATGTGCAGTTCCTCCATCTACCCAGACCTCAGCAACTTACATGTTTTTTGTTATATAGAATAGTTTGCATTTTTAAGAATTTCTATATAGGGACTCCTGGGTAGCTTAGTTGCTTAAGCTTCCGACTTCAGCTCAGGTCACGATCTTGTGGTTTGTGTGTTCGAGCCCTGCTTTGGGCTCTGCACTAACAGTTCAGAGCCTGGACCCTTCTTCAGATTCTGTGTCTCTCCCTCTCTCTAACCCTCCCATGCTCATGCTCTGTCTCTCTCTTTATCTTAATAATAAATAAAAACATTTAAATGATTAAAAAAAAGATTTCTGTATAAACAGAAATCTATAGTCTGTGTTCCCTGTAACTGATTTTTCATTCATCAGAGTGTATGTTGAGTTTCACCCATGATGTGTATTGTAGTGATGTGTGATGTAGTATTTCATTCCTTTTTAGATGACTAGTATTCTATTATACCATATTTTGCTTATTTATTTCCTTATTGATGAAGATTTGGGTTATTTACAACTTTGGGCTGTTGTAAACATAACAGGTATAAAAATAGGTATAGAAGTCTCTGGGTTCATGTATACTTTCATTAATCTTAGATACATACTGGAAGTAGCTAGTCTATATGAAAGGTGGATATGCAGCTGCCGGTTTTCCAAATCTCACATTCTAACAAGTTTTTTAGAGTTCTGATAATTTAATGAACTCTACAATACTTAGTATCTTCAGAATTTTTAAAAATGTAACCATTCTAGTATGTGTTTGTTGGGGGGGACATATGTATGTGTGCATTTGCGTATGTATGCACACTCATGTAGAATTATCTTATGTGGTTCTAACTTGCAATTAGTTGAATGCTAATTCTTTGGAGCAATGATGTGACTATTGGTCATTTGTATATCTTCTTTGGTCATTCAAGAGTTTTGTCCATTATTCTGATTGGCTTATTTGTCTTCCTATTGTGTTTTAAGAAGACAATATATATTAAGGTTACAAATCCTGTGCCTGTGGGATGCAGGGATGGCTTAGTCGAATAAGTGCCTGACCTTCATCTCAGTTTAGGTCACGATATCATGGTTTGTGAGATTGAGCCCCATGTCGTACTTTGTGCTGATAGTGCCAACCTGTTTGGGATTCTCTCTCTCCCTCACTTTCTGCCTCTCTCCTGGTCTTTCTCTCTCTCCCTTTGTCTCTCTCTCAAAATAAATAAGTAAACTTAAAAAAAAAAATCCTCTGACTGATTTATGCATAGTAAGTATTTTCTCTTTATTCATAGCTTGATTTTTTATTTTCTTAATGGTGTCTTTTGTTGAGCAGACGTTTTTCATTTTGCTGAAGTCCATTATCAGTTTGTCTTTTATGTTTGTATTCATTGTTCACTATCTAAAAATATTCGCCAAACCACAAATCACTATTCCATGTTTTCTTCTATAAGTTAATCATTTTAAGTTTTTAAAAAAATTTAGTGTTTATTTTTGCGAGAGAGAGAGAGAGAGAGAGAGAGAATGGAAGAGGGGGAGAGAGAAGGAGACACAGAAAGTGAGGCAGGCTCCAGGCTCTGAGCTGTCAGCACAGAGCCCGACAGAGGGCTCAGACCCTCAAACCATGAGATCATGACCTGAGTCGAAGTCAGATGGTTAATTTACTGACCCACCTAGGTGCCCCTATAACTTTAACTTTTACAGTTAAGTCTATGACCAATGGTCTTTTCAGATAAGAATAAATACTGAAAATTTTCTATATATATATACAGGTCTAACAAAATTTCATGTAAAAGACTTCTTTTCAACAATGAATTATCTTGGCAACTTTAAAATATCAATCATGTATGTGTGTGTTTATATATGTATATATATATGTACATATAAATATATATAATCTATGTGCATATATATGCATATATAGTTGTTTCTAGACAATCTCTTATTTTTAATTAATTTATCTTACACCAACCACACTTTCCTCGATTAATGCCTCATAAGAGTGTTTCATAAGATCAAGTATCCTAAGTTCCCAGATTTTTTTTTTTAATTTGCTTTGGCTCTTATTTGTGTGACTTTCCATATAAATTTTGGAATAGATGGTCATTTTATGCTTTAAAAATTCCCAACATAATTTTGACAGTTGTTATGTTCAAATATACAGGTCAGTTGAGGTAAAATCAACATCTTAATGATATTCAGTTTTCTAATCCATGTGAGTAATATATTTTTCCATTTATTTTGCATTTTTAAAATTTATAACCAATATTTTAAGAGTTTCCATACAATACTATGCTCATCTTTTAAAATTTTTTACAAGTTTGTTTTTGACACTGTTGTAAATAGAATTTTTAGAAATTTCATTTTTCAGGGCACTTGGGTGGCTCAGTTGGTTGAGTTTCCAACTTCAGCCTAGGTCATGATCTCACCATTCCCGAGTTCGAGCCCGCATCCGGTTCTGTGCTGACAACTCAGAGCCTGGAGCCTGTATCAGATTCTGTGTCTCCCTCGATCTCTCTGTCCCTCCCCTGCTCATGCTCTCTCTCTCTCTCAAAAATAAATACACATTAAAAAAAAGAAAAAAGAAATTTCATTTTTCAGCTTTTTTGCTGCATTGAATTTCATAGATCAACTCTGTGTACCATGGCCTTTCTAATTATATTCATGTAATTGTTTTGTAGATTCTTTTGAACTTTCTACTAGACTGTCATATATATAATATATTTTTCTTTGGTTCATTTCCAGATTGACTTTCTTTTATCTTTGTTTTTTAATAGTTTAATTCTGAGGTACCTAGATGTGAATTTGTTTGTGTGTTTTTCATATTTCGCTTCACGGTTTCTTGAATGGATAAAGATACATTTTTTACACATCACTAATATTTTATCTTCATTTTGTTAAATATTTTTATCTTATTACTGATATACTATGTTATACTATGTTAACACTTCTTACACTGTGTTATTGTCTCCCAAGTCCTTGAGCTGTGCTTATTTTTTCCACTTTTTTCCTGATTTCACTCTGATTGGATAATTTTCATTGCTATGCCATATTCAAATTTCTGACTCTTGCATTAACTTCATTGCATTCTTAATTATCCAAGCTAATTTTTATTTTGGGTTTTATATTTCTCATTTCTAGAGTTTCCATTTTTAAACTATATATTTCCTATATTTCTATCTTTTCATTCATTATGAGCATACTTTTCTCTACCTCATCTACTGTAGGTATAATAAATAACTTCAAGTTATTTTTTATAATTGCAACACTTGGGTCTACTCAGTTTTGGTCTTGTTAATTGTATTTCAGCAAGCAATTAACTTAGTTAGACCCAAATTACTAACTGTCACATTTGCTGTGTGCATCAACTCATATCTCAGTTCAGTTCTTTGACTTAACCAAATTCTGTACTAGCATACCTCATGCATACATGATTTGGGGGTTAACAGAACGTGGGTAAAATTTATACAGAGAATTTGGGATTTCTCTTATGTCTCTCTTTCAGTGATCCCTTTCACTTTCCAGCAGCAGTGGTTGACTCCGTTCTTGACCTTTGTTTCTTCATGACACAAAGTTTCCATAACTTCCATTGCAGTTTCTAGCACTCTACACTATGTTGCAACTGCCTTCAGGTTAAAGCTATAAAAATCTTACCCTATGCTCTGTTCTCTTTAAGGTTTTAACTCTCCTGCGAAAAAAATTTGCCTGTTTTAGTTTATTTTCCAGAGCTTTTTGGGAGTTTTTGCAGCGAGGTAGGTGGGTAAATGTTTTTAAGTTTGTTTAGTATTTGCTGAAATGTTTATGGTTGTTATTTGTAGGATGGCAAGTTACTACTTGACTGTATCTAATGCAGAATAACTCTCATATACTTGTTTCTTGTACTTAAAAAAGAATGTACCTCTCACATTTTTTAATTCTTTTCTCCTATCTTTTAGAACAGAAGAGGTGGAATTTTCATTTCCTCTATTTCACATCTGGCTTTGGAGACATGATGTAGCTCTCAAAATTAGTATTCTTTACAGTAGAAAAGGATTGCTATGATCTTAATCAGGTAATGATGGCTCCTGTCTAAACATTTTGAAATTATGTGGAATTAGGCATTATCAAGGATAAAGTAAATTAGCTCAAGCTTCCCAAATTATATTTCTTTTCTATACGTATATGTGCATATAAAAGGTTGTTAAATCAAACTTTTCTAATTGTATAAAAATTTGGTTTAAGGTTTAAAGGAATTTAAACATGATAAATACACCAATTTGCAAAGAGAGTCATTAAATTCCTCACTGCAGGGGTTGAAAAGGCAGCATATAAAACCAGAATTGCAAACCTTAGCCTATCAGCAGATTGCAATTTATTTGGGAAGAGAAATCTAGAAACTGCGGAAGCAGTGAGTTTTTATTTAAAGATTGTTGGCATAGTCCTCTTCGTTTTCTCACACTTACTTGTAGGGGAGCACAGGAGTAGAAGTACTTCTCATCTAGTGCCAACTAAAGAAAGTATTAATGAAACTGCTTTTAGGGAAAGAGTGTACTTTCAAAGAGTGGAAGTTGTTACTGTAACTGTATGCTTGCTGATAGGCAAAATCTCATGGACTTGCCCTTTACTGCTTGAGGGTCAAGCAAGGGGAGAGAGCTCTTCAAACTGCTTGTGTTATTACATACAGTTTGGAGGGCCAGATGAATTTCTGGCTCTGTAACCCTCATTTCTAAGAACTACTCAGTGTTCAAAAATACAGTGAATATATTTTCCAAATAAAATCCTCTCCCACTTTTTATTGTCTTTTTTTTGAGGGTCCGTTTTTCTCTTATTTCCTTTTGTTCACCATGTTCAATAAATACTCAGCTTCCTTGTAATATTTTTGTTTCAATTTATACAGGTATATCAAAAAGTCCCACTAAAAGATTTTTCTGCTTCTTATATTTTATGTCATTTAAAAAATTTTATAGTTACTGATACTATTATATATGGAAACACATTGAAACCTGAAATATGTTTCTGGTTGATTATAAAACCACAACATACAATATGTTTTCTTCATTTCACTCCCTTTATGCACTTTGTGCTGTGTTTTGGGGAATTGATAAATTCCATAAGGTGCTCTTTTTATTTTATATAGTCAACATTCACTTAGAAGTAGTCACCTATCTACTCTTTGTGTCTTATGTCACCAGAGCCTGTTTTTCATTCACCTATAAACCTCCACTTTATGCGAATATTGTGACAAGTATTTGCCCTTCTTTGTCTTAAATCCTGTTGTATTTTCATCATTGGAGGGAATTTTCACTAGATAGAGGATTTTTGACTAGGAGCTATTTCTCTGTTAAAATTTCCATTCCACCATTTTCTAGTTTTTATTGTGTTGAATAATCAGCCTACCCTTGTTTTCTGTTTGAAGTTAACCTGTTTTTTAATTTTTTCTGGTTAAAATTTTTATTTTCTTTAATTTCCATTTTAAGTGGACTAGCCAGTAATTATCGTATGTCCTTTGAATTCATCATACCTGGAGTTGTAATGTTTCTTAAATCTGCTGTTTGAGTTGCACATACCAGTTTGGGAAAATTATCCACCTCTGTTTCCATAAGTATCAATTCCATATCAGTTCTGCTTCATTCTCTCTCTCCTATCCTTGTGGAAGGCTGATTGAAGAAAATAGGTATCTTACTTATCATATGTCCTTCTTCTGTGGTACTTTTGAGTACTTTCCTCCTTTGTACTCTCCATGTGTCAGTCTGAATATTTTATTCCGTTTTCTAGTTAACTAATCTTTACACCAGAATTGCTTTCCTGTTAAAAAGATGTATGGATTACTTATATTAAGTTATTATAATTTCTGGTTTAGGATTATTTTTATGATTTAATAAAAATCTGCCTGATAAAATTCTTCATATTCAATTTTTTGAAGCATTAATCACATCTATATATAATAATGCCTCTGGATTGTCTGTGGGTCTATTTCTATTATCTCTATTATCCACTCTGTCTTTTTTGTACATTTGGCTATTTTTTATTTGAGTTTCTAAAGTTTATATGATAACTTGAAGAGGTGATTTTCATGTTATCTTCCTCTAGAGAGGAATTACTTTTGCTTTGGCCAAGCAGAGACAGGTTGCCTTCATTTGTTCAAAGGCTGAACTGATTAGAAGCTGGGCTTCAGTCTTTGAGACAAGTTGCCTAATTCAATTTTTTCTTTACTGGTAGACTATGGCTCTTCAGGGGTTATAGGCAAAATCCTGGGCTGTTAACCAATATTTCTCCTTCATGCAGAGTTGTAAATTTAAAAATTATATACCCTAGTCTATTAAGAATGTCAGAAATTCTGTTCTAATTAAAACTCTTGAGCAGACACTTTCTGTTGAACTTTTGAATCTTAGCTGCTCCCTTGGACTCAGTAGATTGCAAGAAGTGTGGCTGAAAATGTTAGCTCACCTTTCCTCCATTTCCTTGCCTCTAGTATACTGGGTCCTCAAGTTCACACTATGTTAGTTCTCTTATTTTTTTCTCCCTCATTTTTTTTAGCCTTGATATTTTTAAATTTATTCAAATCTAGCTTTGTTTATTGATTGACAACATTGGTCTAGGAATAGCCTTTCTTTGCTAGAAGGGGAATTCCTATTTTCCTTTTTATGATATTCAATTCATATTAAACTCTTTAAATACAAATATTCAAATGCATATTAAACTTTTTTAATGATGTGTTTCTGAATTATTTTCATTAGCTAACCAATGTCATCTTATGATTATACATTGAATTATCATTGACTCTTTGGTTAATGAATTCAGAAATCAGGAAAAATCAAAGCGAGCCTAAATACTATGAGAATTAGGAATAGAACCTTTTGTATTTTACTCACTTAATAGATGTAATTTTAGTACATGCTCTGCCACTCATTGTGTGGCATTTTGCAAATTACTTTACCCCTCCAGGTCTCAGTCTTCTCAGATAAAAGAAATGAGTTCAAGTGGATGATCTTTAAAACTCCTTCCATACCTAAAATTCTGTGATTTTAATAAGAATAAATTAAACCTGAATCTTTGATGATTAGAGTTTAATTTGAATCTCGAATCCATGAGATTTTGTTAGTTTCTAAATTTAGAAAAAAATAATATTCTTTCTCATCTCTAGTGCTGGAAGATGTCCCATATGACCTGGATAAAGTTCAATGCAATAATTACTTTTGAATATTTAATTGCCAAGAAATGTTGAAGAGGTCTAGTAATATCAGGGAACACATACTACCACATATAAATAAATATTATAATGACTAATAATCATAATATGGTGTGTTAATATTAGAATATACAAATTAATAAATTACACAGATTGGAGAACCTACAGTTTCATGTGTATATGAAAGACTTGATAAAGTGAAATTTAGCATTGCATATCAGTGGGTAAACATGAGGTAGTCAAAAAATAGTTTTGAAACAATTAATTATATAGAAAAGGTAAGAAATCCTCACATTTCAGTGTATATAGTCAAGATTATAAAGATCCATGATCTAAAAGTCAGTGTTTTTTTAAAAGAGAGAGAAATTGGGAAAAGGGAGAGAAAGAATGTTAAGCAGGCTCCCTGCTCAGCACAGAGTCTGACGTGGGGCAAGATCCCATGACCCTGAGATCATGATCTGAGCGGAAATCAAGAGTCAGATGCTCAACAAACCAAGCCAACCGGGTGTCTCTAAAAAAAAAAAAAAAAAAAGACATTTTTAATTACATTAGGGTTGCCAAAAATATTAAACTCGAAATACAATTTTCAAACCATAAAAAATTATTTGTGAGAAAATGTATAGGAGGTGAAGAAATTTTAATTAAGATTAAGATGTAGAACTCTGTCATCAGACTCAGACATGGTACCGGACACATGCTATCATGCCTTATTTTAGCTGTTTAAACTTGGAGTGACTACTTAAAAGTTTAGTCATCATCTATTCCTGCTGTATTATGTGACTAGCAGTATCTGTTTTATTAGAAATACTGTGAGACATAAATAATATCAAAATACTTAGGGTGTTGCTAAAATAAAGTAGTACCTAATAATTATTAGGAATTGTATTTGAAAAATCTCAATTGTTTTTTCTCTGTTGTGATCAACAGAACTTAGAGAAAAAATTAAGACTTGGAGAGAGACATTAATTGGAAGACTTGTACATTCATCTAGCATAGGCCAAGCATTCCTAACTGTTAAAATACAAAAAAGAACAAGCATGGTAATTATCCTTCATTTACTCCAATCTAGTGACTTTTTTGAAGAATGAGAGAGTGATGTCAAGCAGCTTTTGAAATGATTATCAAGTGGACCTGAAGGCTTACTCTGGTAAGGTTGGAGACCAGGGAATAGAATGGTATCAGTCTACCTGTTTGTTTATTTTATTTATCATAGCTTAGCATCCCAAATATAGGGGCAGTGAAAGTGGAGTTTTTCCTATTTTAGGTGTAAAGATTATGGAATTGAAGTAGCAAAATGACCACTTTTTTTTAATGTTTTATTTATTTCTGAGAGAGAGAGAAAAAGAGGGAGAGAGCATGAGCAGGGGAGGGTCAGAAAGAGAGTGAGACACAGAATCTGAAGCAGGCTCCAGGCTCTGAGCTAGCTGTCAGTACAGAGCCCGACATGGGACTGGAACCTACAAACCGTGAGATCATGACCTGAGCTGAAGTCGGACGCTCAACCGACTGGGCCACCCAGGCGCCCCACAAAATGACCACTTTTTATGGTTCTTATTAGATTAGCTAAGAGATCTTGGTTTCTAGGACCTATAAAAAGAGAACTGAAGCCATTCAGAGATAATATAAAAGAAGGAAGGACTGGAGGAACTAGATATTCAGTAATTTCTGATAACCTGTAACTTTCAATAAGGAAGTGAAGAGAAAAAGAATATCAATTTGAGCCACAGAATCATATGCTAGGGTATACGTTTGTAGAATTAAGGTACTTATATGTACATACAAATCTAAGAACTATGTGAAGAACTTACTGAAGTCGAGTGGGCATGATATTTCAAGAAGAACTTCCTGAAAATTTCTGGAGCCCAGCCAGCAAGAAAAGTTCATTTGTTAAACATGGACACATGGAAATTGCTGCTGATGACTTATATTTAGTTTCTTTTGTATCCCCAGTATGTGAGAGTGCTTGGCCAGTATCGCAGACTTAAATTTTATTGCATGTATTTATGTTAACTGTCTCCTGTATCCTACCTCGTTGATCTTAAAAGGATTCTAAGCTGTGATGATAATAACACAGATAAGTCTAGAGGAACAGAAATAACCCTGTAAATGAGCCTCATTGAACAAGTCCTCATGGGAAAGTTTCCATTTCTAAGCTAAAGCTTTCACCTAGAACTCAAATACCTTTATATTTCAACTCAGACTGCAAAGCCGCAGCCTGCCTTTTTTTTTTTTTTTTTTTTTTTTTTAATGTGAAACTGAAAAGGCCAACTTGGGACAGTCTGTAAAACAAAAGGATATATATGACTAAAACATTTATTAATCATGGAACATGCTTTAGCTTTAGTATTTTTTTAATGGAGTTCTATTTCAGGCCTAGGAGGAAAAAAATTTGAATGTATTTTTTATTTTAATCACCTCAGTTAAAATTAAAATATGAGAAAGATTATTTGTTTTTGAACTAGACCTTTGAAATTAAGAATGCTTTGTGTGGAAGAATTATTCTTGTTTCTTTTGATGTTTTCTTGAGTCTCTCAAAGATGATTCCTAATGAATTGCCAGATGTAGGTTTGAGACTAGAATTTATAGACCACAGTTATTCATTCCAGTCAAATGCCACAGACAAGAACAGCAACAAATCAAAGTTAATTCGTAATTGAAACCGACTATTACTAAAAGCAATTTAGCTTTAAAGAAACTTGACATGTTGAAAAGATGAATTACTTGGTGCTTTGTTATTTAAAATTATTTTTAATCATTTAATGGGAGAGAAATCTAAACTTCGGAAGGCCAGACAGGAGTGGAATCTATTTCATGTTTCTTTTTAAAACTCAGAGAATACCTTTTGAAGATAAATCAAAATGTATTTCAAGCAATCGTAACAGGGTTAGGTAAAGTTTTAGGGGTATTTCTGTATTGCAAATGGTAATATAATTTAATGCAAAACTTTATACATTAGAAAAGAATTTATATGGTTGCCATTACACTTTAATTTCCTCCCTCTAAATTACCTAGCAAATTGTCTTTTTTTTTTTATTTTATGCATTGGTTCCATGAAATATATGAATAAGAAAGTGAGTAAATTAAGCTCATAATTTTGCTAGTAGCTTTATGTTTTACAAATACACAATCCCACTCAACTTAATTTATATCCTTTGCCAAACCTGCACTGCATTTAATTCTATTTAACTTCAGCACGTTAGTTGGAATGAACATTTCTCTACTTATGTTAGTCTGGGCAACAGGTCATTTTTGTTTTTTTTTAATTGGAGAGTGGCCTAGATGAATATCTCTAATGTCAGTGCCTAATAAATTAGGAATAATGACTCTTCTTTGACTTGTGTCATTGGGTCATTTATATGGAACTTGCATATAACCATTTTCTCCCTCAAGGAAGTCTCACTTAATATCTGCTTTTGTACTAGCCCCCACTGCTTTTCTGGTATAGATACTGCTCTACTTGTCTAGCAGAAGAAAACACTAGTAGCAACTATAAAATTTCCAGGTTAATAATTGAATAGAACAGAGATAATCTGGAGCAAAAATGCATGGGTAAGAAGAAAAATAGTCTTGATTATTCAAAAGTTTGATCATTTTGATTAAAACTCTTCATACATTTAGTAGATTCTGAGAAAATTTCACAATAGAAATACATATGTAACCTATGAAAGCATTTCTATGTTTTCACATGGAACCATTAAGTTTGGGAATAACAAAAGAAATGAAGCTTTTAAAAATTTTATTGAAAGCATTATTGCAGCTTTTATCTGCAAGTCCCCAGATAGATTGAAGGCCACAGTTTTAATGGAAATTTCATGAAGTGGAAAGTGAAAAGAGTTGAGAACTACAATGATGATAGATATAAGACAATGACAGGCAAATTGGTTGGTTAATTAAAGCTTCCATGTTTGTAGATAATATTTGGCATGTCAAATTGAATGTCAGCATTTGAGATTAGAAATCTAAATATCCATCACCATAGATTGAAATTATAGTCAAGATAAAAAAAAAAAATGAAAAAGAGAAAGAAAATACCACACAAGAGGCAAGAATATGTAAGGTCAAATCTCTAATGTATCAGATTTAGTACACAAAGAGAAAGTTAAATCAGTGGACAGAAGTCTGGTATTTGTTCTAAAACATGGTGTTTGAATATTCAGCTAAAAATTGTTAAATGGAACAGGGTATAGAAGATCTATTTTATTTTTAGCTATGTAGTGCACTGGTTCTCAATCTTTGCTGTTTGTGTGAGTGTGTATATATAGATATGTCTATATATACACATATATATACATATATATATACACACACATATGTATATATATGTATTTTTTTAAGTTTATTTTTGAGAGAGAGAGAGAAAGCAAGTAGGGGAGGAACAGAGATAGAATCCAAAGCAGGCAGGCTCCACGCTGTCGGCTCAGACTCACAAACAGTAAGATCATGAATGACCTGAGCCAAAATCAAGAGTAGGACAGTAAACTGACTCAGCCACCCAGGCACTCCTTGGCTATGTATTTTAATCACCAAGGTAGTTTTATAGGTTCTGATGCCCATTGAAATTATATAGTTTCAGGGTGGGAACTATGCAACAGTAATTCCAATTTGGTAAAATTTGGCAAGTGCCATATATCCATATTCATGTATGAGTCTGCTTTATTAACTAGTTACTAGTACCTTTCATTTACTTTTTTTTTTTTTTTTTTTTTTTGCATAAGGAAAAGGAAACGTATATAAATCTAATCATGTTATTTTAAGTTTCTGGAAAAATATATGTTCCAGCCTTGTGAAGGGCAGTAATATTATGATTGCTCATTTCCTTTGTGAATTAAATTTCATTTACAGCCTATGTTTTAGGAAAATCTCAAAATTAGGATTATTATATGGGGTGGGGGGAAGTTGAATATAAATACTTCTTTGAGGACATTTACATTGAATGCCTATTTACTTGAAGTTTTCCTTGACAGTATAGTGATTTTTTTGACAAAACAATTTACACTCTTTATTCCACGGAAATTGCAATCATCACTGTGCAGATAAGTAGTATGTTACAATGAAAATCTAAGGTTTATTCGCGTAGTATACTTTTATCATAATAAAACAAGCGGCTATTTGGAGTGTTTACTTGGATCTGAAGTCTAATGTCCTTGGGGAATACATTTCGACCCTAATTGAAATAAATGGTCTATAAATGTAAATTAGCGTTTGTAAGTTTTGTCATAGACTATAAACGATTTCTTAGAAACTAATTACATTTACCTTTATAGCAAGCACTTTTTTTCTGCTTTAATAACCCTAGGATTATTTTTGTTTACACTAAATGCATGTTTCACATATAACACCTCATCCTCAGTACACACTTTGGCTGTAGTTATTTTCTTCAGGTTGATAAAATCAGTTAACTTAATTTCAGAGACACAAAAGTGATATTGGGCTCTTCTGGCCATCTAATTAGGGTGACCATACAGCTGCAGTCTGATCTGTTGAGGTGTTCCTTTTTACTTTCAAAAAGTGTCCTGGTTCAGATGATAAGTTATACTGTCCGTCTATATCTAAAAAGCTGCCACTTGTGATAATACTGTTCTCAGAATTTAAAGTTGTAACAGGATTTTTTTTTTTTTCCCAAAAAAAGGCTCAGAACATTAATCATCATCTATCAGGAGTGAAGGAGAACTCTTCTCTCACTGTTGAGCATGAGCCTGACTCTGGTTTTATGTTAAACCTAACCATCCTCAGTTTTTCCCCTGTAATTTGTACATGTTAGTTGGGAAAGAGAACACTGTGGCCTTCTTTGGATCACTCAGCACCTTGAATCTCTGTTGTTACATTATCAATGTCTGCCTTTCGGTAGAGTTGACTCCCTACATTTATAACTTAGTTTCTAGAAATTTGTAAATTTTGGCAATAGCAGGAATCTTAGTCACCTTTGAGTGACTCTCTCCCTCACTCATAGTACTTCTCTCTTTTAATTTTACCCTACAGAAGGAAATAACTTTTTTTTTTTTTTTTTTTTTTTTTAGCAATAGGGGAGAGGGAGAAAGGAAGGAAGAAAGAATAAAGACTGACTTACCATAACGAAGTATTAATATAGAATTAAGATGGTAAATGTGGTAATAAAGCGAACAGGACAGGTAT